TCCTTCGCTCTCTGAGGAGAGAAGTATTGACGCCATAGTTCTGCAACTGAACAATCTCCATGTCACAGATCTGAAGACTCAATGACACAAAGCAGGGTTTTTTAGTGAATGTTTCACAATGCAGCTTAGTGTAGCTCCTGGTGGTAGCACTAATGTAGACAGGGCCCCAGTGGGGGCTGGGGCAGTTTTTACGCCATTTGTTTTAGATCTTTTCTGCACAGAGTCAGATAACATGATACTTAAAAAGCTCTCGCTGTTGCTACTGCTATTTACTAGCAACAGTGAGAAATTTTCCCCCAAAATCTCTCCATTAGATAAAGTAATTAAGGCCCCACCTTAGCAAATCACTTAAATACATTATTGATTTAAAGTATATGCCTAAGTGCTTTGCTGAACAGAGATGGGTATAAATGTGCATAAAGTTAAGCATGTGCTGAAGTGCTTTGCTAAATCGAGGCATAAGAGTCTATTAATTCACAGTTTAGAGGAAAGCCTTCTCTTAGTGGACCAAAGACTGCATTACTTAAAGCTAAAAAGAGCCCAGTTTTATAGAGATTTATTTTCTGCATTTCAAGTGCACCCCCTATCGAGTAGCTACAGAAGAAAATTGAGAATTGACAAAACTATCCTAACTACACTGCCTCACACTCTGGCAGAGGAAGTGGATCCAATAAATAAATAAATAAATAAATAAATAATCAACCAAACGATGGAAGAGAAAAGAATTTTAAACAGACAAGTGTATAGCAAATGATATGAAGTGCAAATACAGGCTGAGAGCAACACTAAGCTGAACTGAACGCAGAAATAATAGTCAGCAACAAAGGTAGTTCTTTCACCTTCTACATCTTGCATACAGATTCAAATGTGTTGGCCACATCCTCCTTCCATTGTGATAATATCAATCAGACCTGCCATGTGGAAAGGTTACTGGATGCAGCAATAGAAGTCACTAAAATGAACACATTAAAAATGTTAAACCCTTAAAAAGCTTTTGATTTATTTGAGGAAAGCACGTAACAGTGAACAGGGCTTATATCTGCTATACATCTTAATGCAATATTGATTCCATTATCAGAGAATAACTAATGTATCAAGAGTACAAAGTGTTCCCACCTAGTATGGGCTTTCAGACTATCACGTGGGAACGAACAGTTCCTGTCCAGATGTACATCAGCAAAACTAGTGATAAAGAAAATCCATCTCTTGCAATATCAGTGCACTTTAAACAGATTACCACCATTGCATTAAACATTTTAAATGCATACAGTCTACTTGGAAAATCTCATTTTCCATAATGACTACAACTCTACATTTTCATGAATAATTCACCATTTTCTTAATTATTGCTATTCATTTGACAGCCACGAGACGTCAGGTCAGAGGTCCTATGCAAACATTGAGTAGAACATTGTTCTTGCAAACAAAAATTAAATTCAAATGCCCACCAATCACTGCCCAATGATACAAAGGCCTGAAATGACTCCAGATATTACAACCATTATTAAAACTTTGATTTTCAATGTTTTGAAAATTAAAAAAAATAAAAAATAAAAAAACTTTATCCAAAATGATTTTATGCAACTAATTTTGCTGCTGTTCAGGAAAACAACAACAACAACAAAAATACGTCCCCGTTTGGTGAGTCTTTGTTTCCAAGGACAGTAGTATTAGGAGAGGTTAAAAAATGACCTGTGCAAGATGAATATCCCATGATAAGTGAATGGTAAATCCATAGTATATAAAAAAGAGATATAAAACTCAAGTTAATGAAATACAGACAAATCAAGCAATTTCTACCTGTTGTAAGGATCCATGGACTAGAACCTGGGTCTGCAGACATTCCCAAAGTGCCCCTGGGTGGTCACACAGACCCACAACCAGGGAGCACTTTGAAGAGTAGGTACCACAAGAAGTACAACCTAAAGGACTAAGAATGACATTATCCTGCAGCCTTCTGATTGGCCAAGCACCCTATTTAACCCTGGAGGGTGCCCTAGGAAATTATCTGGGCAACTTTGGGTCTTCTGATCTCCAGTTTCAGATCCCAGCCTGACTCCGATCCTGACTCTTGCTTACCAAACCCGGCTCTAGTGCAAGGGTTCTCAAACTGTGGGTCAGGACCCCAAAGTGGGTCACAACCCCATTTTAATGGGGTCGCCAAGGCTGGTGTTGGCCCTGGCCCCAGCAAGTCTGAAGCCCAAGCCCCACTGCCCAGGGCTGTAGCCCAAGCCCACACCTCCCCCTGGCCCAAGACTAAGGTTATATGCCCCCCAACTAGGGCAGAAGCCCTTGGGCTTCAACTTTGGCCCCCCTCGCCTGAGGTAGCGGATCTCGGTCTTCGGTCCCCCCTTCTGGGATCGTGTAGTGATTTTTGTTGTCAGAAGGGGGTCATGATGCAATGAAGTTTGAGAACCGCTTCTCTAATGATTTCTCCAACTCCTGCTCACTGTCTACAGTCCCTCACATGCAGACTCCAGCCGAGCTGTGATTGCTAGGCCAGACCACCTGTGCCCCGGTCCCTTACATCTGTTTGGTTTTAAATCTCCACTGCTACTTAAATTAGAGAAAAAAAGTATAACGAACAGATACTTTACACAATTAATGTATCTTCTGTTACATCCAATGTTGATCTTAATGGGGTTTAATTCATCATGGTTATTATGACTATTCAGCTTCAATATGTTTTTAAAAGTTTTCCTCTACCCATATGTTTGCATTATTTTTATAAGGCTCATTATCATCATCTTACGCAAGACTACCTTCTTTTTCTCTACCACGGTGAATGTAGTTTGGTTTACAGCATCGTGAATGACAAACCATCTGTAACTATGTCTCAGACCCCTGCATACCCTACCAAGTCAAAATAATTGGTAGGGTAAGTTGATAAATTCAATATTGTAAACATCTTTTGAGAGAAGAATTTGTCCTCTGTTTGGGTCTAAAACATGCATATACATGAATTTCTCCAGCATTAAGATCAGAAATGGAAGAAACTTTTCCTGAAGATGATAACCTAAAGAGTTTACTGCCAGTTTTGTACTCTATCCTGTACAAAGTCTCTCTAATAGCAAGCTACTACTTATGGAGGATTTTAATGTTAACATGTTAGATGAATAACCTGATTCAATTCTAGCAAAGTCCACATCCACACTGCTATAAAAAGTCATAATGTCCTAGCCAATCCATCAGTGGATAAAAGGACTCTCTTCCATTGCTACCTGTGAATCCAAGGGCAGACAAGGTTTCAGAGAATCCCTGGATGGGAACTTCCTTGACAAAGGGTGAGCACAACTCCTCAAAGGGAGCAGGCACATACCACTGACATTTATGTGTACACTTGATATCTGTTAGCCGTGGTGTTATGTGGTGACAAAATAGGTTAGATAGTAAGTCGCTCAGTTTCCCAACATAGTCATAGTAAAAATAAACTGCATCTAAGATTGCTAGGGATTCCAAGATGTGAAAAGTTAGAAAAGCAGGGCAGTTTGTTTTCAGTCATCACAAGCATATTTGTAAAAATAACTAAACTGTAAGAAATTCAGTGTTACCTTTGATATCTATAGTGAGGATTAAAAAAAATACACATCTTCCCTTACACAAGATGTTTATATTTTAGAACTCAGCAGGAACCAGAGAAATAGGCAGCAGTAACTGAAATGTTTTCACAAAATAAAAGCCTCACCTCTCTGTACAATGTATATGTGCATGCTAAAATTACAAGGCACGTGAACTTGTTTGCAGTACATAGCCCAGCCGTCTTTTTTAGGGTTATACATTGCTAATGAAAACGGACCAAATGAGCATGTTTATAATGCCATCTTATGAAACTGTTGAATGGAAAAGGACAAAGTGGTTCTAGAGAGAAAACGCCTAATATTGATTATTTCCCCTATGTTTGGAATGAAGTAAGAATATAGCTGTGTCTGTTTAACAACTTACAATTACCATAGCACTTTATTTTACAAAAACATCTTTACGTTTGCTTAACCAGAATCATCAATCTATATCAACATAACTCTGGGAATGATAAAAATAATCTTTATTAATAATCTCAAAATTAAAAGTAAACAAAAGACTATTTAAAAACTAATTTACTTTTCATTATTTAAGTTCTGCATTTATTTTGCCTGTCACTCAGTTTAGATCATTATAAAGAGACTTTTTGGTTCTCCTGCTCTCAAACTGTGCTGTTATTGTTTGGCTTCACAACACAGTGGAGGAGTATTTAAATAGCAATTATACTATAAAAATGTTACTTGAAACTGTTCCATCAGATTCCATGTTTGACTTTCATATACGATTTAGTCCGTTTACATGTAAACAATTTTCTATTTCTAAATGTCAGCAGCACAATCTCAACCTGGAATCTAAAACTCAAGCTGAATTCTTTCTGATTTCTGATATCTCCACTACTAAAAATTTTGTAATTTAACTAATCATTCTGCTGAGAGATTTGAGCTATAATAGGATCCAGTCCTCTTCCACAACTATATTGGTCCTGAACTGCTAATAAGTAGTAAAAATGTATTTTAGGCCCTGGTCCTGCAATAAAAACTGTGCAGGTGGAAATCCACAGAACCTCTTTGGTGTTAATAGGGCTCTGTCCATTCATGTGACTCTCAATGCAGGCTAGGGATGTAGTTAGTAAAGTGAACAGAGCAGACACAGAGTAAGAAGCTGCCATTTTTACACTATGACTTTTGAAGAAGTATTAAACAATATTCTTAACTTCAGTCTGGAACACTATCAACATAGTTTGTCAGTACAATTTTATCCTTCAATATTAACTTATTGATTGCGGCAATACAGCTACTGTTTGACACCTTATTGTACAGTCAGAGTTTAAGGCCAGAAGGAACCATCTGATCATCTACTCTGACGTCCAGTATATCACAAGCCACCAACACCACCCAGCACCCGCACACTAAATCCAACAACTGGCAGGAACTGGTCATGAGAGAGTAATAATAATAAAATGGGGGGGGGGGGAACCTTACCCACAAATCCTTCTTCTCCAACCAGCTTCAGGGCAATCTTGTCTGCCAAAACTGAAGAGTTTCCATGTGCAATATTAGCAAACGGTCCAGCATGCACAAATACTGGAGTTCCCTGGAAGATACAAAAAGAGAATTTACATCCCAGGTAATACAACAGCCAGAGAAAGGAACTGACTCCATAGGTGTATACTTTTTTGATGTATACAATTTTGAAAAAACTACCTAGGGGGCACAGGGACTGGAAACCATATGATAGTTAAGAGATAACAACGACATCGTTGACAGATAATTTTTTGGGGGATTGCGTTTAGTGAAATCTCAGGGGCATATAGCCCCATTCATGTGAAAGTCTAGATGTTAAGAAGCAACAAACGATCACTTTTGTTTTAGGATCTTCATTCATAACAGAACACTAAATGACAGTAGTTAAACACAACAGGATACTGTATTATATTAGTATTACTGTAGTGCCTAGGAGCCCAAGGTACTGTACAAAACACAGAATAAAAGATGGTCCCAGACCCAGTCTAAGACCTGGTCTACACTAAAAAGTTAGGTTGAAGGAAGCTGCCTTAAGTCGACCTATTAATGTACGTGTCTACACTACCAGGTCCCTTATGCCAACCTAAGTCGCTTCTAAGGTCGACTTCCGTAATCCATCTCTGCGAGAGGCGTAGTGCTTAATTTGATTTTCATGGGTTGACTGCGAGGTAGTGCAGATGCAGCGTTGTGTAATTCGACTTAATTGGCTTCCAAGTGGTGTCGCACAATGCTCATCTGTGACCACTCTGGAGATCATTTTCAACTCTGCTGCACTGCAGCCAGGTACACAGGAAACAGCCCTCCCCTGCTAAAGCCCCGGGAACTTTTGATTTCCCATTTCCTGTTTGATCAACATTGGGAGTGTGCCAGCTTGAGCACAGCTGATCATGGAGCCTACACGCCCCAAACACACTCCAGCCTGGTCTGCACAGGAGGTGGTGGATCTCATCACTGTGTGGGGAGAAGAGTGTGTGCAGGGAGAGCTCCGATCCAGCAGAAGAAATGCCGACATCTCTGCAAAGATCGCTCAGGGAATGGGAGAGAAGGGCTACACGGCACTGCCGTGTGAAAATAAAAGAACTTCGCTGAGCGTACCAGAAGGCAAGGGAGGCGAACAGTCGTTCTGGTGCTGAACCCCACACATGCGTTCTACAACGAGCTGCATGCGATTCTCGGGGGTGACCCTACCAGCACCCCCACAAGCAACATGGACACCTCACAGGCATGTGAGTCTAGAGACAGCAAGAAGGATGATATGTTAGATGAGGAAGAGGAGGAGGAGGAGACGACAACAGGCAAGTGGTAGATCCATTCTCCCCAAGAGCCAGGAAATATTTTTAACCCTGGAGCCCTGTGGGTTGCAGGACGTCACGGTAGCTGACCGTGATGCTGTGGAAGGCACCTCTGGTGAATATACAGTTACAATCAAAGTCCAGTTAAACTTTAGCGGGGGCACACATTCAGTGGCATTGCATGTTTATTGTGAAGAAAAAGCAAGGTGCTGTGGTTCTCTGCTTACAAGAGGGCGCTCCAGCTACGCAGCGGGTGGCCCCCAGAAAAGACTGTTTATGTGGACTGGGATAGCCCTGGAATACTCCATGGATATCTCTAGGAAACTTTCATGGAGGTATTCTGCAATCCTTTGCAGAAGGTTTCTGGGCAAGGCAGTCTTACTTCTTCCACCATGGTAGGACACTTTCCCACACAACTCCTGAATTAATTCTGCTGCCATCATTGCAGTACACAGCATAGCAGCATAAGGACCGGGTCTATACCCAGGTGCTTGTAGCATCTCCTTCCTTTCTGCCTCTGTTACCCTCAGGAGATTGATATCGAAGAGGGTCAACTAGGGGAAATGGGGGAAGTTCTCATTAAAAGTGCTCTTACAAGAAAAAAAAGGCATGTAGACGCACCCCACCCTATACATTCTGGATCGCCAAACCACGCGGCCGTTAATGTGCCTTTACTGTGCTTGGAATGGGTGGTCAAGTAGTTTAAAGTGGCTGATAGGAGACTGGGGCCCCACATGAGAGATTCTGCAATTTGAGAGTGAAAACGTGTCCCCCCATTATCCCTTTCACTTAACTCAGAGGGAGGGTACAAGGAACAGAAGCCGCCCATTCACAGACCTTTGATGGTCTGGAATGTGGTGTTATGTTACACAGCTGAAAATGTTTCTCCTGTTCCAACTTGATAACCCCTTTCTCCCAAAGTTACTTTTTTTTTCTGTTCTCCCTCTTTACTTATGTTTGTTAAATAAAGTAAATGTTCTTTATTGAATAGAAGCAGTGGGCTTGGGCGGGGGGTTGGCTTTACAAGGACAGTGATACAAGCCAGGTGAAGGTTTGGGAAAGCACAATGCAGATAAGCAGCTCACATTACTGAGACTCATTATTGAAACGGCTTTTCAAAGCCTCGTGGATACAAAGCCCCCCTTGCAGTGCTCTTCTTATTGCCCTGGTGTCTGGCTGCTCAAAAATGGCTGCCATGCGATCTGCCTCAACTGCCCACCCCTGCGGAAAATTTCCCCCCTTCTTTTCCACAGATATTATGGAGCACACAGCAGGCAGCTATAACCATGGGGATGTTCTCTTCACTAAGGTCCAACCTTGTTAGTAAACATCTCCAGAGCCCTTTTAAACAACCAAAGGCACATTCAACCACCATTCTGCACTTGCTAAGCCTATAGTTGAACTGTTCCTTACTGCTGTCCAGACAGCCGGTGTATGGCTTCATGAGCCATGGGAGCAAGGGGTAGGCTGGGTCCCACAGGATAATTATCGGCATCTCAACATTGTCAATGTTCATTTTGTGGTCTAGAAAGAAAGTCCCAGACTGCAGCTTTTTGAACAGACTCGAGTTCCTAAAGATGCGCGTGTCATGAATCTTTCCCGACCATCCCATGTTGATGTCAAGGAAACGCCCCATGATCAACCAGTGCTCGCCACACCATTGAAAAGTATCTCTTTTGGTTTACGTACTCTTTGGCAAGGTGGTATGGTGCCAAGATGGGGATGTGTGCGCCATCTATTGCCCCACCGCAATTAGGGAACCTCATCGCAGCAAAACCATCCACTATGTCCTGCACGTTTCCCAGACTCACTACCCTTCTTAGCAGAAGTCGATTAATGGCCCTGCACACTTGGAGCACAGCAGCTCCCTTGGTTGATTTACCTACTCCAAATTGATTCCCCACTGACCGGTAACTGTCTGGTGTTGTAAGTTTCCAAACAGCGATCGCCACTCGCTTCTTCACTGTCAGAGCAGCTCTCGTTTTTGTGTTGCTGAACTGCAGGGCAGGGGAAAGCTCTGCACAAAGTTCCTGGAAGGTGGCCTTCTGCATCTGAAAGTTCTGCAGCCACTGCTCATCATCCCATACCTGCAAAACGATGCGGTCCCGCCAGTCAGTGCTTGTTTCACGGGACCAGAAACGGTACTCAACAGAGTGCAGCTGCTCTGTGACTGCCAGCAGCAACTGTGAATTGTTTTTTTCTATGGCTTGCAGCAGGGCTGCTTTCAGAACATCGCTATGTTCCGTGCGGCGGACTCTACTTCGGCTCTGGAAATACTGAAGGAGAAGGCACGAGGTGTTTGAGATGCCCACAGCAAGAGTGCACAACTGAGCAGCCTCCATGCTTCTGGGGTTATGGTGTAGGTGTGAAAACCACTGGGTTGTTTGCCATTGATATGAGGGAGGGAGCACAGTGCATCATGGGATGCCGACGCCATGTTCCCATTCTCCCCTGCGACAATGTTTTGGTCCCATGAGGCATTGCACAAACTTCCCAAAACACACCACGGCAAGTTGCACTTCGAGATAGCTACCCACGATACACTGCTTTGTGCGTCGATGCAGGCATTACTAGTGAGGACGCACTCCATGAGACAGTGAGCATGGTGTGGCCACGCACAATTGACTTAATTCGGAGGCTCGAGGTCGAATTAGATAAAGTTGACTTAATTTTGTAGCGTTGAGAAGCCCTAAGTATAAGATGAGACAAGAGATGGATACAGATCCTGAGGGAGAACAGGGAAACAATGAGAGAATATTGGTCAGTATAATAGGATGTGGTCTCCACACACCCGCAGTCTAATCGTTGTCAAGATTTTTGTAAGCATCACAGAAAAGGAGAATTTTAAAAGAGCATCCACAAAATAGGATAGAATTAAATGAAGCATATAACTGCTATTGACAAAAATCTTTTGCATGAATCAGAATATGTGAGACAACTCATTGCCTGGGAATATCTTTAATTTTATGTGTATTGCACTCTGAATAGACATGGGCTTTAGCACCAATGCTGTAAAGGGAAATAATGTTTTGTATTAAATATTTTAATGCTTCCAAGATTACTGGAGAGAGGAAGCAAACAGCCTGAGATTATCTAGATAATAAAGCTAGTTGCTCCTTTTTTTTTTTATTTTCACTAAAATGTATTTAAAATAATTTATTTGGTATATGTGGGAATTAACCCCAAATATGTGTATGTTCTCCAAAGAATATCATCATAATTGAGTTCAGGTAGTGAAGTAATGAAGTTATTTAAATCTCCTTTACATTAGTTAAAATGCTTCAGTCCTGATAAGAGAAAATATTTCAGAGAATTAACAAAACCAGATGACTCTTAACTAGGGCTGTCGATTAATCGCAGTTAACTCACATGATTAACTCAAAAAAATTAACGGTGATTAATCAGTTTTAATTGCACTGTTAAACAATGTTAAACAATACTGTAGCGCAATCTCTTTATCATGAAAGTTGAACTTACAAATGTAGAATTATGTATAAAAAAATAACTGCATTCAAAAATAAAAAAATGTAAATCTTTAGAATTTACAAGTCCACTGAGTCCTACTTCTTGTTCAGCCAATCGCTCAAACAAACAAGTTTGTTTACATTTGCAGGAGATAATGCTGCCCGGTTCTTGTTTACAATGTCTCCTGAAAGTGAGAAAAGACAGTTACCTTTTCTGTAACTGGTGTTCTTCGAGATGTGTTGCTCATGTCTATTCCACAATAGTGTGTGTGCTTGCCACGTGCACTGGTGGTGGAAGTTTTTCACCTAGCAGT